CCTTTTTTTTTCTTTTTTTTTTTTTTTTCTCTTTATAATTGATTATAAGTTTCGTTTTTACATATTATATCTACAAATCGTAATTTTACTAAAATTGTGTGTATATTAAGGTAGAATTGGAATCATTAAGATAATTTTATATGATATTATCAGAAAATTTAATTACTTGTTTTTATCAGTAATATATAAGTAGATAACAAGAAAAAGAAAAAATATTTTTCTGCAATTTAAATCAATAAAAATAAATATATGCGCTATAGTAAAAATTATTTTGTTTAATATTAATTAATCAAAAAGATATCTAATGGTTCTAATTCTGCCCGAGATAAATTGTTATTACAAAAGCAAGAAATTATGCAATATATTTAGAAAATACTCAAATGTTTTTGGTTATGCGAATTTTTATTTTAAAGAAAAATCATGAAGAAAAAAAATGGGAGGAGTTTGAAATCGCAAAAAGGAGCACCGACACTAATATTATTAACATTAACGAATAATGATTTTAAAGTAAGCGAATTACATTTATAAGGAAAGATTATGAAAATATATATTTATCTATGTCTTCTGTGAAGATAGAAAATAGCACTCTCTCACTCTATATTGATGATATCAGAAAAGAAAAAATTGAAATCCATAAAGATACAAACGCAGAAGTAGATTAGGGAGAAAGTGGAAGAATTCGCACTGTATACAATACATGATATGATTGATGACAAACCGAAATTTGTTAAATACTTTGTACATATTTACATAAAGATCATCAAAAGAAAAGTTCCAGTACATTTTATTACATAAAATACTTTGGCGAAAACAAATATTGATTGTCATTTGTAAATCAAATTTTCGAAATTAAAAACACTAAAATTTTTGTCTATATTTTCATAGAGATTCATATATAAAAATCATTTGTTTAATTAAAATTAAAATAATAACATAAATTTCTCAATAGTTGAAATATTAGAATTTTTTAATGAACAATTCAAATTTTTAACAAATATTCGTTTAATTAGATTTTTTAAATTATTTGTTAAACTTTATAAAAATACCCTCTCTATGAAAACATTGACTATATTTCTTATAGCATATTGCTAAACTATATATGAAAATTAAAAAAAACTGGTATCTATTTACAATTTATATTTCTTCATATCCTGGAACTGCCATATCAAAGAATTGAGCTTGAATATAAGAATGATTAAATGAAATATTGATCAGAAAGAATGGAATCTACCTGTATATTATCATAAATAAAACGAAACGAGGATCAAAGTAGTTGATTTAACAAGTAAATAAAGAACGAAATGATATATCATTAAATTAGAGGTTTAAAAATATAATAGAATTCAGTATATGTACAGTATTTGAAAAACATGTTTATAATTTGTATGGAAAATAAATAATTGATATAAAAAGAAACTATTTTCCCTATATTTATCTTTAATTACTTTTAATTATTTAATAAAAAAATATTAATTTTATTTCAAATTCTATAATTATAGATAACTATTTTTATAATTTATCTTAATATAAATAATTTATATTTTTTTATGATTCCGTTAATCTTATTTTTAATTTATTTACATTTATTTATTTCTAAAAAGGTTAATATTTATATTATTATTACTTAAATACATTTATTTTTATGATTCGATGAATATTGATTATATTTACTAGCTATAGTATAGGGTATTGTACCTAGTATAATTTATTGAATAAATATGAAATAAAAAAAAAATATTTCAATTTACAAATAAAAGCGCGCTGATTTAAATAAAATACATTTAGTTTAGAAAATATACATACTTATTTATATATATGTATATAAAATTATGGGTATTAAATTTTTAAAATGTTTTTTTTATATTTAATTTGATTTTATACATTATTTATAATTTTAATTTATTATTTATTAATAATTTATTATATCGTATAAATATATTTTCCATCTAATATATAAAGTATAAAGTTTTTTGAAAGATCCACGTGTATTATTTTTGTACAAAAGTAAACCTTTTATTGAAAGTAAACCTTTAATACGATGTCTACTATAAATCTAGAAAATTTCCATAAAAGAGCAGCTGCTGCGGTAAATTATATTATTTATTTATATTTATTATTTTATAAAAATTTATCATTTTTATAAAAATATAATTTGAGATTGTCAAATAATCCTTATAATAGGTTATAATATTCATTATTACACATGTTTTACAGGAAGAAGAAATAGCTTTTTTAAAAAAAGAAATTGAATTTTTACGACAAAATATTATCACTAACAATTCAAAAATAAATTCTATATCTGAAGATGAATATATAAAATTAGAACAAGAAAATGTAAAATTAAAACATAGGGTGGCTATTTTAAAAAGGGTTTGTACAATTAAGCTCACTTGAAAGCTCTAAATAATTTTATAACTTTTATTATTATATTTATTATAAATAAAATAATATATTTTTTATAATTTATTATATAATAAATTATATAATATATTTATTATAATATATTTTTGTTTAATTTATATAGACTATTGAAACTGAACGAGCAAAATCAGAAAGCAAAGCAAAAGCAACAGAGAATAATGCCGTTAGTATATATGATACATTATATAATTTATTTGAGAAAGCAATTTCAACTGCATATCCAAATGTTTGTGAACCTCCAATAATTATATCAATTAGTACCAATCCAAAATTTGGAGATTACCAATGTAACAGTGCTATGCCACTTTGTAAACAACTTAATAATGATGGTAAGAAATAATATTAATATTATTAGAGAACATATTATTAAAATACATATATATTTATATTTATATAGGAATTCAAACAAAACCACGAGATGTTGCAAATAATATTATGTCAAAAATAGAAGAATCAAACTTAGTCTCTAAGTTAGAAGTTGCTGGTGCAGGTTTTATAAATATCTATTTAAAAAAAGAATTTACACAAACAATTTTAACCACTTTAGTGAAAAATGGAAAAGTATTTCCACCTTATACAAAAAAACAGAGAGTGATTATAGATTTCTCAAGTCCTAATATTGCCAAAGAAATGCATGTTGGACATCTAAGATCTACTATAATTGGAGATAGTATTGCAAGATTGTTAGAATTTTTAGGACATGATGTATTAAGAATAAATCATGTTGGTGATTGGGGCACACAATTTGGAATGTTGATAGCTCATCTTCAAGATAGATTTCCTGATTATTTAACTATATCTCCACCTATTATAGATCTTCAAGTAATTTTAAATAATTTTAAATATATTTTTGTTTTATTCATTTTTATAAGTATATTATATTTACAAACAATTATTCTAATAAATTGTTATAAAAATTATAGAGTTTTTATAAAGAATCAAAGTC